TCGCTAGAAAAAAAAAAAAAAAAGAAAAGCAGAAAAGGAAAATTCCAAAGAAATAGAAATTGATCGAAGTGCACGCATTTGTACAACGAGTCAAACAACGAGTTTCCATCGGGATCTGTTCGATACCGTTGAGATCCGTGGATCCTCTTACGACCTCGATTCTGCGCGCTTGCAATCATCCGAACTGCTCTAAATTACCGTCACCGTTATCTTATCGGTTCGGTCCCTTTTACAGGGTGGTAAACACGGCCAGCAATTGCAGAGAACTCGAAGAAGAGAAACCGAGCCACGTGCCTCCTCGCAACTCGCCGTCGTAAATTATTCAAAGCCGGCGCGATAATGAGCAAGCAACAACTTGCGAACAGATAAAGCTCCGCCATGCCGCTTATTATCATATCTCCAGAGGATGCTAACAAGTAGCGAGCAAACTCTCCTTCGAGCAACTCCTTCGTTTCTTTTTTTCTTTTTTTTTTTTTTTTCTTTCATTCGTAGCTGCCTCTCTTCGAGTTCCGATTGAAAGTACGAGTGTCTAATTGTAATTGTAAGTTCTGCTATTCGTCGTTCACTCTCTCTCCCGTTTTGGATGCTTTGGACATTTTCGGAGCGCAACAGTGAGTTCGAACTTTCATTTTCGTAGATGAATTTGAATTGTCGCGCTTTGGAGAATTCGAATTTTCGTGTTCCCTAGAATTCGAATTACTGCGTTTGGTAGAATTCAAATTGCCGCGTTTCGTACATTTCGAGTTTCCGTGTCTCCGAGAATTTAAATTGCTGCGTCTCGTAAAATTCGAATTGTTGGGTTTCCTAAAATTCGAATCACTGCGTTTCGTAGAATTGGAATTGTTGAGTTTCCTAAAATTCGAATTATTGCGTTTCCTAGAATTGGAATTGTTGCGTCTCGTAAAATTCGAATTGTTGAGTTTCCTAAAATTCGAATCACTGCGTTTCGTAGAATTGGAATTGTTGCGTTTCGTAAAATTCGAATTATTGCGTTTCGTACAATTGGAATTGTTGCGTTTCGTAAAATTCGAATTGTTGAGTTTCCTAAAATTCGAATCACTGCGTTTCGTAGAATTGGAATTGTCGCGTTTCGTAAAATTCGAATTATTGCGTTTCGTACAATTGGAATTGTTGCGTTTCGTAAAATTCGAATTATTGCGTTTCGTAGAATTGGAATTGTTGCGTTTCGTAAAATTCGAATTGTTGAGTTTCGTAAAATTTGAATTGTTGAATTTCCTAAAATTCGAATCACTGCGTTTCGTAGAATTGGAATTGTTGCGTTTCGTAAAATTCGAATTATTGCGTTTCGTAGAATTCGAATTGTCGCGTTTCTTAGAATTCGAATTGCCGCGCTTTGGAGAATTCGAATTTTCGTGTTTCCTAGAATTCAAATTATTGCGTTTCGTAAAATTAAAATTGTCGCATTTGGTAAAATTCGAATTTTCGTGTTTCCTAGAATTTGAATTGTCGCGCTTAGTAAAATTCGAATTCCTGTGTTTCCTAGAATTCGAATTGTTGCGTTTCATAAAATTTGAATTATCGCGGTTCCTAGAATTCGAATTATTGCGTTTGGTAGAATTCGAATTGCCGCGCTTTGGAGAATTCGAATTTTCGTGTTTCCTAGAAGTTCAAATTATTGCGTTTCGTAAAATTAAAATTGTCGCATTTGGTAAAATTCGAATTTTTTTGTTTCCTAGAATTTGAATTGTTGCGTTTCGTAAAATTCGAATTATCGCGTTCCCTGAAATTCGAATTATTGCGTATTTGGTAGAAATTCGAGTTGTCACGTTTCCTAGAATTCGAATTGTCGCATTTCGCAAAATTCGAATTGTTGAGTTTCGTAAAATTCGAATTATCGCGTTTCCTAGAATTCAAATTATCGCATTCGGTACAAAATTCGTATGGTCGCGTCTCGTAAAATTCAGATTATCTCGTTTTCGCCCACCCGTTTTCATTATCGCGTCTCTGCTTCTATCAACTCTCATCACCAGCGACCCTCTCATCACCTTGATCCTCACCCATAAGTTAAGACCCATAGTTAAGAAACACCCGCGTGCGCACCACGAGCAAACACTTTCCATAGAGCATCATTTTCGAGTAAATGCTCCCCCGATCGACGAGACCTCGGATCGTTCGAGGTCGGCGGCTGTCGAAAGAATGGTAACGCGAAGTCGATCAGGATGGAAGCCTCGCGTCAACATCAACCGTCCGGGGGCACATCGTGGCGATGGTATTCCGCGGCGCGACGAGGTCGCCGAAGCGAAGAAAGAGAAGACAGGGGCTTGTCGTTTCGCCGCAAACCCGAAAATATCCATGTCGGCCGGTATGTTGAAACCCTGGCATAAGCTTTGGCCAGTTGCCAGAGGAGCGGTTGTTCTCGGTTGGAGGCCACGCCAGGCCAGAGGCGAGCGGCCTCGTCGCTCCCGAACCTCGCGCGTTTAGGCCTCGCGAAAAATACACGAGGCAAGGGGAAGAGAGAGGAAACGGTTGTGCGGGGGAGAGGGAGGACCAGAATGAAGAAGACCCATCGATGAAAAGTCAAAGTGTACGTGTGAGAAACGACGTTCCTCGAGGAGGAAATCCATTCTCTTTCACTCACTCTCTCTCTCTCTCTCTCTCTCTCTCTCTCTCTCTCTCTCTCTCTCTTTCTCTTTTTCTGGGCTTATCAGCGAATTATCCTCCGCTGGTTTCTATCATTCGTTGACCTTTCGAACCGACCAACGCCAGCTGACTGTCGTTTTCGTTCCACTATATATATATATATATATTGTATAACGTATATACTATATATATATATATATATATTATATTGTATTATACCATATCCTCCTAATTTTAATTAATATAATTGAAGCTAAAATTGAACTAAAAAAAAGGAGCTTCAACGTGAGCTTTTAATAATCACCCATGAATTATATATATATATAAAAATTATATATATATATATATATAAAATGAATTATATATATATATATAAAATCTAATTTTGGAATCTTAACTAAAAAGAGATACACCATATCTTCATAATTTTAATATAGTTGAAACTAAAATTATTGAACTAAAAAGAAGGAGCTACAACGTGAGCTTTTAATAATCATCCATGAATTATATATATATATATATTGGAATCTTTACTAAAAAGAGATATACCATATCTTCATAATTTTAATATAGCTGGAGCTAAAATTATTGA